TCAAAATGCAGAAATTGATTTCACAAATGGGGAAAGAAGATAGATCTGAGCTTTTGGGGTCCAGTCCCCCAAACTTCCAAGTACTTTTTAAGACACACAGAGAATCAACTTAAGCTGGAGAATAGATGTTCACAGGTCACATGAGCTGTGTATATAATGCATGGGTATACAAAATACTTAAGAAGTCCATTTCATTCCATTATGAGGCTGCTAAAGGAATGCTGTTATTGGGTAAGCGATGTTTCATATAAGGAAGTGTTATTTACATTCTGTATTTCATTCTTGTGAGATCACATTGAAGGTGTATTTGTGGAGGAATGATATAAATGGAAATGTGCCCAGTTATAAACTAAAGAATACATCTTAGTTGAAAATTGAGGAGAAATGTGAAGCTTACCATTTGAGATAGTGAAATCCTTTTATATAGGACAATTCTGCAGACTACCCTTCATCCTGATTAACTTACTGCCCAGAAAATGGAAAAATTCCATTTTAAAAAAACTCATAAGATTTCAAAATGAAATAAGATTATTATAGTGAGTTAAAAACCCAGGAATTCAAGCAATATTAACTCAGCAACAGCTTTTCTATTACTGATAGTTGACATTTAATCTTAAATGTGGTACTAGTTATTTATTCAGCTAGGCTGATATCTCCCATTGTGTGCAAAAAAGGGTGAAAAGAAAGGACCTACTAGGCACTACCGTAATGCAAATTATTAAAAAGAGAGGTGAGGCTCCTGGGTCCCCTCCACTCTGCTGAATTGTCCTTCTTCAGATGTGGAAAGTGGGATAATGTATGTAGATCTGGAAGGTGGCATGGGCTGCAGATCACATGAAGCCTAAGGGCCTAGGAGACAGCAGGAAAAAGCCCTGTGACCGCAGCTGCCTTTGCACCTCTTTTGCACTCAGTCACTAATAGCATAGCAGCCCCTAGAAATTGCCCTGTGCTCAGGGCCCTTCTGTGGTAGGTCAAAGCTGCAGAGGGAAAGTTGCTCACCACAGCAATCACTTGTGATCATACTGCTTTGTAAATTATGGTGCTCTAAAAGGGGAACACAGTGCATCACACAAGCACTCCCTGACTCTCTAGCACCACAACGGTGAGCTCAATCAATGAGCACGATAGGGCCTGCAGGCACTTTTGTGAAGGAATGCTAGCATACACCGCAGCCTCCCACTCCACTTTCCAGACTTCCTCCAGCCTGTGCTGTAGAGTAAAGCATCTGGTTCTTGGGGCCCAAAACTCCCACTATAGTTATTTGCTCTAACTTCCCACTAACAATAGGGTTGCCAAACTTTCAATTCATGCAGAACTGAACACCCTTGCCCCGCCCTCTCCTCAGAGGTCCTCTCCTTACTCCATCCCTTCTCCAAGGCCACACACCCACTCACTCCATCCCTTTCTCCTGTGTCGCTCGCTCTCCCCACCCTCACTTGCTCATTTTGAGTGGGCTGACTCAGGGGTTGAGATGTGTAAGAGGGAGCGGGCCCTAGCTAGGGATGCAGACTTGGGTGGGGCTGGGTGAGAGGAGTTTGGGTGAAGGCGGGTGCTCCAGGTTGGGACTAAGGAATTTGGAGCACACGAGGGGAATCAGAGCTGGGGCAGAGGCATGTCATGGGGGGGCATGAGGGCTCTGGCAGGGGGTGTGGGCTGTATGGTGGGGCCATGGATGAGAGCTTTGGGGTGCAGGAGAGTGCTCTGGGCTGGAACAGAGATTCAAAGTGCAGAGGGGAATCAGGGCTGGGGCAGAGGACTTGAGCACAAGCTGTGCTCAGGGGTGGAGGCTCTGAGTGGTGCTCCCCTGAAGCAGCTGCATATCCCCTTCTGGCTCCTATGCAGAGGCATGGGCAGATGGCTCTATGTGCTACCCAATCCACAAGTGCCACCCATGCAGCTTCCATTGGCCACAGTTCCCAGCCAATTGGCTCTGCAGAGTTGGCTTTTGGGGAGGAGGCAGTGTGCAGATCTCCCTGGACTGCCCCTGTGTGTAGGAACGAGAGGAGGGATATGCTGCTGCTTCTGGGAGCCACAACGGGTAGCAGACAGGGAACCTGGCTCAGCCCTGCTGTGCTGTTGACTGGACTGTTAATGACTCAGTTGGCAGTGCTGACTGGAGCCGCCAGTCAAAAACCAGACACCTGGCAAACCTAACTAACAAGAACATAAGAATGGCCATATGGGGCAGTGGCCAGTGACAAGTGCCCCAGAGGGAACGAACAGAACAGGGAATCATCATATGATCCATCCTCTGCCAGCCATTCCCAGCTTCTGACAAACAGAGGCTAGGGACACCATTCCTACCCATCCTTGCTAATAGCCACTGATGGACCTATCCTCCATGTACTTAGCTAGTTCTTTTTTTGAACCCTGTTAAATTCCTGGTCTTCACAACATCCTCTGGTAAGTAGTTTCACAGGCTGACTTTGCATTATGTGAAGAAATATTTCCTTTGGTTTGTTTTAAACCTGGTACCTATTAATTTCATTTGATGACTCCCCTAGTTCTTGCATTATGGGAACTTGTGAATAACTTTTCCTTATTTACTTTCTCAAGACCAGTCATCATTTTATGGACCTCTATCATATCCCACCTTAGGCTCCTTTTTTCCAAACTGAAAAGTCCCAGTCTTATTAATCTCTCCTCATATGGCAGCCATTCCAAACCCCTCATAATTTTTGTTGCCCTTTTCTGAACTTTTTCCAAAGTCAAGATATCTTTTTTGAGATGAGGCAACAACAATGACAGAGTGTTTTTGAGATGTGGGCGTATCAAGGATTTAGATAGAGGCAATAAGATATTCTTTGTCTTATTCTCTATCCCTTTTTAAATTATTCTTAACATTTTGTTTGTTTTTTGACTGCTGCTGCACATTGAGAGGATGTTTTCAGAGAAGTATCCACAATGACTCCAAAATCTCTCTCTCGTGGTAATAGCAAATGAAGTTTCCAGCATTTTGCACATATAGTTGGAATTATGTGTCCCAATATGCATGCCTTTGTATTTATCAACACTAAAATTCATCTGCCATTTTGTCACCCAGTCACCTAGTTTTGTGAGACTTTTTAGCAGCTCTTCACAGTCTCCTTTGGACTTAACTACCTTGAACAGTTTTGTATCTTCTGCAAATTTCGCCACCTTGCTGTTTACCCCATTCTTCAGACTTTTATGAATATGTTAAATAGGATTGGTCCCAGTACAGACCCTTGTAGGAAACCACTAGTTAACGCTCTCCATTTTGAAATCCTACCATTTATTCCTACCCTTTGTTTCCTATTTTTTAACCAGTTATTAATCCAGGAGATGACCTTCCTTCTCTCATGACAGCTTACTTTGCTTAAGAGCAAAGTATCTCCAGCAAGAGTTATAAGGGTGCTTGTTTCTATTTCTTTTTAATATATAATTATATTGTGGTGCTCACAATGAATTCTGTAGAGTAACAGACATTGAACCCTTATAATTCAATACCCTGGGAGTCTAGAATTTGTCTTTTAGTCTGTCTGCACTTAATGGTGGTGTGTAGAATACATAAAGTGCAGGCCCCCTTTGTCTGGATATAATAGCAACATAGATGGTGAGGCACTGCTTATGTAAGTAGAGTAAAAAAACACCATAACTTTAGGGTATGAAGCTTACATGGCTCTCCATGTCTATGGAGTGAGTAGTGATAGAGATGTAGCCGTGTTAGTCTGGGGTAGCTGAAGCAAAATGCAGGACAATGTAGCACTTTAAAGACTAACAAGATGGTTTATTAGATGATGAGCTTTCGTGGGCCAGACCCACTTCCTCAGATCAAATAGTGGAAGAAAGTAGTCACAACCATATATACCAAAGGATACAATTAAAAAAAATGAACAAATATGAAAAGGACAAATCATATTGCAGAACAGGAGGGGGATGCAGGAGGGGGGGGAGGAAGGAAGGTAAGTGTCTGTGAATTGATGATATTAGAGGTAGGGAGAGTGGGATGTTTGTGAGTTAATGGTATTAGAGGTGATAATTGGGGAAACTATCTTGGTAATGGGTGAGATAGTTCAAACGTTTGTTGAGTCCTTTTTGGAAAGTGTCGAATTTTAACATGAATGACAGTTCAGAGGATTCCCTTTCAAGTGCAGATGTAAAAGGTCTTTGTAGCAGAATGCAGGTGGTTAAGTCATTGAGAGAGGGTCCTTTCTGGTTAAAATGGCAAGAAACTGTTTTCTCTTTGTGATCTTGTCTGATATCTGTTTTGTGGGCATTAATCCTTTGGCGAAGTGTCTGAGATGTTTGTCCAATGTACATAGCAGATGGACACTTTCGGCACATGATAGCATAGATTATATTTCTGGATGCGCAGGAATATGTGTTCTTGATCTTATAACTCACTTGGTTAGGTCCAATAATGGTATCAGCAGAATAAATATGTGGACAAAGCTGGCAACGGGGTTTGTTGCAAGGGAAGGTACCAGGGTTGGTATTAGTGTGGTATGTCCTGTGGTGGTTGGTAAGAATCATCTTGAGGTTAGGTGGTTGTCTATAGGAGACTATGGGTCTGTCTCCCAGAGCCTCTTTGAGTATGGTATCCTGTTCCAATATAGGCTGTAGTTTATTGATAATGTGTTGGACAGGGTTAAGTTGGGGGTTGTAGGGGATGACAAGTGGTGTTCTATTGTTGGTTTTCTTGGGTATGTAGTGAGTGTCTTCCACATCAGCACTGCTGTGTTTAACAATATAGTGTCCCACTGCTTCCTTCCACCAGAGCTTGTCATTACCATATGTGAATGAACAGTACAGCGTGGACACAGCTTGCTTTTCAATCATAATCAGGAGTGCTGATCAGCACCTGGTGACTAAGGGGTTAACTAATGCCTCCTGTAGCTAGCCAGGTATCGGGTGGTCAGCCAATAACAGTGCAGGTAGGAATTTCAAACTGGAAGAGAGGGTTTTTTTTTCCTCTCTCTCTTCTGTGTTTGAGAGGCAGAGCAGTTTCTTCCAAATACTGAGGGAGCTGGGAGACACTTCTCTCTCCAAGAATGGACTTCTTACAAGGTGTAAGTAGGGAAAAGTTTAGCTAGTCTGTCAGGATTTATTGTTTTTGGATATGGAAATAGAGTCTGAGCTTAAGTGGTTGTTTTCCCCTCTTTTGTAACTAAGCTTTTAGCCCAAGGACTTTCCCTGAGTATCTTTATCAATAAGTGGCTCTTCCCATCTAGCCACTTGACTATGCTTGCAACTGTAGCCTTTTTCTGATAATAAGTTTGTTTGTTTCTTTTTTTTTTTTTTAAATTAACTGGTATTGGTTGATCTTTCTGTCCTGGAAGGTTTGTGTGTGTATCTGCATGCCTGACTGAGGGGTCAGCTACCACAGGCTGCTGCTTGTTTTTCTCTTTTTTTTTTTCCAGAAAGAGCTTGGGGTACCCCTGGGGTTGGTTTCAAGTGTCCACCCCTGTTTATGGATTCAAAAGCACTTGATGGTGGCAGCGGATTCCCCAGAATCTGGGCATTAGGATTTTGGGGGGGAAGTTTTATACCAGAGCCTGTAGAGGCAAGGTTTTGGAGTGTTCTTGTGGGCCCCCACTTCTGCATTCATTGTGCCAGAGTGGGGAACAGCCTTGACACAGTGCATAGCCACACAGACTGGTAAAGCTTTGTGAACAGTTAAGTGCTGTTGTGGCAATGCTTTAATACAGCAGCGTGGTCATAGCAGCAGCTGTAGGCAAACTGCCTTCAAGAGGGGAGTAGCTAACAGTGCTGGGAGCATGGCTAGAAGCCTGTTTACACTGGTGCTTTACAGTCCTGCAACTTGCTGCTCTCAGAGAGAGGAGGAGTGTTTTTTCACACCCTTGAGGAAAAAAAAGTTACAGCAAAGTAAAATGGCAGTAGACAAGCCCTTAGATACCACAAAAGAGTATTCAGGCTCTAATTAACCAGAGTAGATAATTACTAAGTTCTTATTTTATTTCTTTAGCTATCTGGGGATGGTAATGATCATACCTGGTATTTTCCATCTCTGCTTAGTCTGTGAAAAGAGATGTGCATAAAAGAGATGTTTTTCATGCACATTTGCATTTATTTTTATGCGGCATTTTATTTCAGCTACTGCAGATGCTTGACAACAGCCTGTGCAAAGACAAAATGATTTTCATGCATTTAAAAGAAACAGTACAGGGAATAAAAATGTAAAGACTGAATTCCCAAACAATTCTAATGGAGGCTTATGGGATCTACTGAAATTAGAACCATTAATATAAAGGTAAAACAGGACAAATTTTGCCCTCAGATGTGCATACAGAATTCACGTGGACATGAAATTCCAGCAAGAATGAAAGCAGTTTTCTTTCCTCTTGGTTTTACCTTTTTACACTACATGCAGTAGGAATGTAGTTCTAACCCAAACCCTGCATTGTTGCTAGGATACAAAATGTATTTCAGTAACACTGCCCAGGTATTTGACAGTGTGATGTCTTTCTCCTATTTAGTTGCATGGGTTTAAGTAAAACACACCCTTTAACAGTGTCTGTACTGCAGCAATGAACAGTACCTGTCCATTTGTTCGTGAAAACTGTGTTTAAACATACAGCACACACACGGTTTGGGTTTTGTTATTTCACAATGAACTACATCGGTGGTGATTTTCCATTAAACATGGTGCTCTGATAGCCAACAGGAGCAGAAATGCTGTCTAGGGAATACTCCCTGAAAGAAGGGGTTCTTTTCCCAGAGCCCCCAGTGTAAATGGGCCACCAGGAATGAGAAGGAGACAGTGTGACCACAGTGCTGTGGTCTTAGCTATTCAGTATTTCCAGTAATCTATGGGAAGGGGAATAAGTTGTGGAAGCTCCGAGGCTGCTCTACCTCAGTGGTTCTTAACCAGGGGTGCAGGGCTGCCAGAGGTTTCAGGGGGTCCTCCGAGCAGGGCCAGTGTTAGGCCTGCTGAGGCCTAGGACAGAAAGCTGAAGCCTCACCACATTGCATGGAAGCCTATGGCCCCGAGCCCTGCCACCCGGGGCTGCAGCCAGAGCAGCTTAGCTTTGCAGGGGCCACTGTGGGATGGGGACCCAGGAAATTGCCCTGCTTGTTATCTGTAATGCCAGCCCTGGCTTTTATGTGCAGAAAACTAGCTGTGACACAGGCCTCAGAATGACAGCCCTGGCTTTTATGTGCAGAAAACTAGCTGTGACAGGCCTCAGAATGAAAAAAATTGAGAACCCCTGCTTTGTACTGGAGGCTCAGTAGGCCCCTAAGAGCCCATAAAAGAGGGGGTGCAAAGGTTGCTGCACCACCCTATAGCGTTTTCCTCCTCACATGCCTGCCCCACATTCCCACTCCTAAGTCAGTCAGACTGATGGTGAATTGTTAAGGTGAAGCTGAAGGATGGATTTAGGTCATGTCTACAGGCCAAATTCTCATTTCAGTATACTGGGTAAAAGATGTTACTCCAGATTCATGCCAGTGTAGCTGAGATTACACTCCGGGGCTAGGACCTTACATGCTCCAAGTGAATGATACTGACATTTTTGCACTGAATTTTCTTTCTACAATCCAACATTTGGGGCAGAGCTTTTGTCTAAAGCCATATGGCTTTGCAACATACAACAAAAAAGCAATTGTGGGTTTAAAACAATTATTGATAATTAGTCCTGAGATTGACATGGCAACTAATAGTACTGGTACTGCAGGTTGAACCTCCCAAATCTAGGGCTCCCTGGTCCGGCAAGATCTGTGGTCCGGCATGGTTGTTGCTGGACCAAAGAGCCCCAGAAGCAGGAGCCAGTGGGGTTTGTGGAGTCCTGGCTGGGCCAGCAGTGGCTAGGCAGGGGAACCCTCACATCAGTGGGGCCAGATAGCATCAGGGAGCCTCCCCACCACCAACAGAACCCCGGTATCAGTGGGGTCAGGCAGCTGGAGAGCCCCTGGCAGTGGGGCCGGTGACAGCCGGGGAACCCTCCCAGTAGCAGCAGGGCTGGGATGGCCAGGCAGCCTTGACTGGGAAACCCCTGGCGGCAGTGGGGCCAGGCAGCGGCTGGGGAATCCTGTCAGTGGGGTCAGGTGGTGGCTGAGGAGTCCCAGTGCCAGCAGGGGAACCCCAGCATCAGTGGGGCCAGGCGGCATTGGGGAACATCTGCCCCAGCCAGGGAATCCTGGGAAACCCTTAGTGGCAGTGGGGTTGGTGGCAGTGGGGCAGCCCTGGCTGGGGAACCCCTGGAAATCCTTGGCGCAGCAGGGTGGGGAGCCATGGCCAGGCAGCTTTAGCAGGGCAGTGGCAGGGTGGGGAGCTCCAGCCTGGGGAGCCCCAGGGAGAGGAGCTGTCAGCAGGGCAGCCAGTAAGGGAGACTTGACATTCTCTAGTCTGGCAAATTCCCTGGTCTGGGTTGGCTCAGGTCCCAAGGTGCCGGACCAGGGAGGTCCACCCTGTACAATCCTGATGTCCTTTGGGAGTCTGATTTAGCTCTTTATTTTTCATAGCAGCCAGAATGACTGCATTGTGTTTTGCAAAAAGGTAATGATTATAAAGGGAGCAGCAGCCGCAACACCTATAATTAGGTTGCCTAATCTTTTACAGCATAAAATATTTTGGGAACATTTTCTGAAGAGCTCCAACACTTCAGTGGTTTGCTGCAGGATTTGAAATTTGTCACAAATTTCTGGGACTAGGAAGGTGCCTTTGATTAAACTTGAGTCAGGACTGACAATGGAGCTGGAACAGTTGCCTGGGGGCCCAACAATTCAGAGAGGCCTGGGGCTCCCAACTGTTGTTGTAGCGGCAGCAGCTGGAGCCCCGGGCCCTTTAAATCACTGCTAGAGCACCATGCTGCAGGCTCCAAGAAGCATTAAGGGCTGGGAGGAGCATGCCACACTCTGGGCATCACTGAGGGCTGGCGTGGTATGCTCCAGGTGGCACTCCGCTAGTTGCCCCAGCCCCATCCCTATCTCTTCCACCTGAGGCCCCACCCCTTCTGGGAGTGTGGAACTGGCCCCTCCCACACCTTGCCCAGGGATCCGCTTGCCCAGGGGCCCACAGAGGCAATCAGTGCTCTGCCTTGAGAAAATCTCTTTGTATCTAGCCAGGCTATAAACTGCTGAGAATTACCATTGCCTTTCTGTATTTTACATACCAGAATCCCTTAACATTCTTTTAGCAGTTCACACTCAGGGTGGAAGTTCTATATGGGCAGGCAGAATGGATTCCCCTCCTGTTTTGCCCCATCCATCAAAATATGAAAGCATAATGGAAGGTGTACTGCCCTGGGAACCAGAAGACTATTCATTCTAGACAGGGTTCTACCAGCTGTTGTTGTTAATTCTGTGTTCTTACTAGCCCTCATAATCATGAAAGGCCTCAAAGGTTACCTAAACTGAACACAGAGCCCAGATTTCTAATACAGCTCACAAGAGACTTAAACACAAAAGCAGGTGATCTCATGTTTGTCCTTGATTATGTTGTCTGTAAAATGGACACATATAAACCATCAATTCAGTGTGTTAGTCATCCTTCTCTAGAGACTGGTCTGTAGATAATACAGTCTGCCAGTAACAAAAGTAGTTCTTTATCTCAAATGGCAATGGCCTATGCTGAAGATTTAATGCTCAAGATTTAGTGAGAAATGTGTGATGGTGGAGGGAGGAATATTAGGCTGTGTCTACACTGGCATGAATTTCCGGAAATGCTTAAAATGGAATACTATTCCGTTTTCAGTTTTTCTGGAAAAGGAGCATCTACATTGGCAGGCTGCTTTTCCGGAAAAGCGTCTGTGGCCAATGTAGATGCGCTTTTCCGGAAAAGAGCCCCGATCGCCATTTTCGCGATCGGGGCTTTTTTCCGGAAAAGACTACTGGGCTGTCTACACTGGCCCTTTTCCGGAACAGTGTTCCGGAATAAGGACTTATTCCTGAGTGGGAGCAGAATAGTTTTTCCGGAATAGCGGCTGATTTTGTACGGTAGAGCATCGTTGCTTTTCCGGAAATTCAAGAGCCAATGTAGACAGCTCGCAGCTTATTCCGGAAAAGCAGCTGATTTTCCGGAATAAGTGGCCCAGTGTAGACACAGCCATTTTGTTTCACTTAATGAATTCTATTTTTGTTCTTTTTTCTTAAAAAGCACAACCTAAATTAGAAACTACATTTAAAAAAAACTGTTAAGAGTATTTTGGTTGAAAATTAAATGTACTACTCATTTATGAAACAGTAGACTTAAGGGAGCACAAGCAACAATTTTTAATTTTATGGTCTCATATGATTATTTCCTCCAGACCTCGGCTTCATTCAATGCATAGGATGGATGGTGTTCATGGGAAAAAAAATCCAGAGGAGTGTAGTGAAGGAGAAGTTTGACCAGGATTTCCTCTTCATTTGACCTAAAAGTTGGAAGTCTGAAAAATGAGGTACTAGATGTGTCAAGCAGGGGTGCAATTACTGTGGTATTCAAAATTAATAAGATTTTGTTCTAGTGACCCTTTGCCTTAATTGCTTGTCTATAAAATGGTAAAAATAGTAAAAATAGTACTATGTTATGCCACGGAAGAGTTGTGAAGATAAATAATTGTTTGTGAGGCTAACACTAGGATACTGAGCACCATATACACTGAATGAGGAAGGATCCTACAGAACAAATAGTATGAGATCATGTAAATAAACACTCATCGTGGTGCATATACACAAGGCAGGCAAGGTTGCCATTTTGGGAGCCATGCATACCTGGATGCTGCTTGCTTTTCTTCCTGTTCCTCTATCAAGGAGCAAGGGGAAACGACACAGATTTGGTGAATTACTTCTCTGTTCCTCCCTTCACCAGCCAGGATTGAGAAGAATGCACACAAGCTATATAGTTTCCTCTTGCTTCCTGACAGGGGAATAGGAAGAAAAGCAAACAGCATCCCTAGATGCATGGCTTCCCCCCCCCCCTCGAAATGCCATCCTTGAAGGTGGGCAAATTAAGTTTGCATGGGCAACCATATTTCTGGCATTTCCTAACTTTAACTTTATCTGAATATAGCATTTTTAGATGTAATATGCATAGAGATTTAGCAATACAACTCATATTGATATTACTGAGAGTCATGGGCTGACTCTCAGCATGCTACTGAGAGTCTATCCCACAGAGACGAGATGAAACAGACACTAGTAGATTCTTTCAACAGTGAGATCCTGATCAAACAAGATGCTGAGCACTTTCTATGGAGTACTGAAGTGAATGGGAGTTGAGAGCGCTTAGTACCGCAGAGAATTAGACCCTCTGGCCATCCAAGTGAGCTAGCAAGGACAAGAGTTACTTTGAATACTAAGGATAAAGAGCAACACAATTGTAATAGGGTATACCTCTCTAGCAAGTACCAGCCCTTTGGGGACTGGCTAAGCACTGTTTCTGCCTCAGAGTCCAGTCCAGAGCACAGCCCTTCAGCTGAGTGAGTTACAGCAACCCAGACGAAAGAATGATGCTTCTACAGCCCACAAAAGCAGAGTCCTAGGCCTTAGAGAAGCCAAAGAAGGGACAAAAAGAAAAATCTCCTTTCTGAGAGAGCCTCAGGCAGCCCCGGTGCTCAAGTTTTCCCTGGTCAGCAGCCTCTGTTTCCAGGGACTTCTGAGTTATGGCCTTGCTCCTTCAGCCCCTCTGCACAGAGCAGCGATTCTCCCTTTTAAGAACCTACCCATCTTCAGGCATGACAGGCATTACAACTGTGGTGGGTTGAGGATGATTGTGTCCAAAGATGGTGTTTAACTACTTCCTGACTGAGATAGTAATCTAAAGGCCTCTAGCTGCCTTAGCAAAATCACTAAAGCATAATGAATACAAATAGCTAACTGCGCAAATGCATCCTAGAGAAGGCACACTGAAAACCCCTAATAAAATAACCTTTCACATCCCATTGTCTCAAGACATCATACGCAGACAATAAATATAGTAGATGCAGACAATATAACATATGACCTACTATGCTCTTAAATCCTGCCATCATATGTGGTAAAATGTCATTTCTAATAGGAAACTAGTAATCATATTCAAAGAATGAAACAGTACAATTCACTGAGTTGTATGTAAAGCTAATTCTGCATATCACATTAAATCAACATAACAGGTGCAGCAACAGAATAAAAATAATTCTTTATTTCTTTTGCATAACACGTGCAAAATTTTGTTCATTACAGAAATCTTATCTGGATAGCATTATGTGTAATAGAAAAAGAATCTTTATTCTCAGCAGTTTTAAAGAAAAATCCGTGCAGACAAATTCTATGTGACCATTTTCTATCGTCATAAAAGAATCTTCACTTTTGTATTGCATGATTCAACCTGCTGTGATAAATCTCACTAAGGAAATCCTGCTGTGACCCAGAGCTTAGATATAAGCTTTAAAAAGAGAGAGAGAGAGAGACCCCACAGTGCTCTCCAAGCAATAAGAAGCTCAAGACTCATTCCTGACATCAAACATCCAGGAAATCAGATTGCTTCAGTTTAAAAAAAAACACCATTTTTAAATCAAGAAATTTGTGACAATGTATATTTTTCATCTTCAGTAATAGGTATGAATTGCAATTTACTTCATCTTTACATCCATACTTTTAAAGCTAAGAAGTTCCTGGAATAGATCAAGCACAGCTCCCTGCCGCTACTAGCACAGCAGAAACTACAAAGCCGTCAAAAAAAGAAAAAAAAAAAACAGCTCCCTGCCGCTACTAGCACAGCAGAAACTACAAAGCCATCAAAAAAAGAAAAAAACCCTCCAAAATGACTTCATATTATTGCTGTTTGGCAAAGAAGGAAGAGCTGAAGACAGACATTTGCCACATAGCACATCTCAAATGCAGGCTAATGTGACAAATCGCTGGGAATGTGTGCAATAACAAATCAATAAATAAACCATCTCAATCCAAGAGGTAGCCTGGAGAATGACATAACTGTCACAGAAAGCCTGAGCACTTCAGCCTTTCCACCAATCATGCAAATTATTTAGGTGATGCCACCTGTCACAGGGCAAAAAGCAAAATGACAGAGGAAGAAAAGTTCACCACAGGCTCAGCTTTAAACATGCCACTACCCTCTCCAAGCATGGTTTTATTGCTGGGTTTCCCGTTAATCCAGTTCACCACAGGCTCAGCTTTAAACATGCCACTAACCTCTCCATGCATGGTTTTATTGCTGGATTTCCCGTTAATCAAAATTTACCCCCATTTTACAAAAGTCCCAAGCTAGATTCTTTCCATGCAATCTTATAAGCAGTAAACTAATACAATACAATAAAATAAAAAAAACCAAAAACAAATGTATAAACTATGCATGGTAGCTTTGTTTGATTCCCCAGACCTCCCTGTCCTTGCTTTTAACCAGCACAACTCTCCCCTTCTAGGGCCTAGAAATGTTATTGTGACTGAACACAGCTATCAACAAGAGCTGACCATAGTTTAGTAGTCAGTATAGACCAGGACAGACTATATTCAACACTGTCAGCTAAACCTCCTTAGGGTTTTAACATGGCTGAGTGACATGACATGATGCTAAACATGGTTTGCCCTACTGCTAAGTCACATTCAGTCCTGGGTCAGCTAATGTGATTATTAACAATTGTGTTTAGAAAGAAAAAGTCTGTAGGGTGTGTAGACCAAATCTGAGTGTAACACCTTTCTTTCATAGTGTTGAATTTGTCCTCAGCAGGTAGTGTCTACCTGAGCTGCCTCTGAGCTGCAGCTGCAAATTAATCCCCCATATCTCAAACCATTGATTGGTTTGGCAGGACCCCTTCTTAAAGACCTCAGTGGGACGTGCCCTTCAGTGAATGCCAGATGACCTGTACCACTGCAGAGGATTTATTACTGCACTTCAGATATCTAAAAGAAGAATTATAAAATGAGAATCAGTGGAAATCCCATATTTATGTAAACTTTGTGGAAACTAAAACACATTCAGAAAAGTGGCTGCCTACAGCTGCGCACTGAAGTAGAAGGTACACAAATATATTCTTTTGTATCTGTTATAATTTATCCCCTGCCAGACTGCAAATCAGTGAGATCTGTAAGGGGCGCCAGTGGTGAAAGCAATCATGGGAATCAGCAAAAGGACAAGAGTAAAGTTACATGTAAGGGGACTGTTGGCACCTTACTAAAACTCATTGGGGTTTTTGGTTGGCTAGCTTCCAATGTCAAAAACAAAGGGGAAGGATCCTTGAGAAATCAGGATCCTGAGACCTACAGACCCCAGGAACAATGGGAAGAGGTCAGCTCTCCAGATCAGCCTGATTGACAAGGCAGGCAGCCCAATAAGGGAGTGAGAAATCTAGAAGAGTGTTTTATCCTCTGTGCTCCTGCGTGAGGTGGGTTTTGCTGGGGCTGAGTGGGGCTGAGCTAAGGAGACAACATGTGCCTGAGCTGAGCTGGGAAGCAGAGCTGCAGCCACAGACCCTAAGCCACAGTGCACAGGGTAGATACATGCTGGGAGGAGAGCTGCAGCTACAGATCATGAGATACAGCGCAGAGCCAGAGTGCAACCCTGTTATCACAAGTAGCCCATTCGTTAGTTTTTTTAAAGTCCCAGAGCCTGGAATCTTGTGATGACATGAGGCTCTCAGGTTTGGGCTGCACTTGAAAGTTATGTCATCAGAGCTACAGCCTTCAGGGGTGTAAAAAGCACTTTGTGATAGCCCTAGCTATGCTGATATCACCTCCAGTATGACCACAGCTAGCAGGATGAAACAAAAAATACATTAGAACTGGAAAAAGTTCAGAAAGGGGCAACAAAAACAATTGGGGGTGTGGAACAGCTTCCATTATGAGGAGGGATGAAAACTAGTAGGATGTTTCAGCTTGGGAAAGAGGCAACTAAGGGGTCTATAAAATCATGATATGTAGAGAAAGTAAATAAGGAGGTATCCTTTGTTCCTTATAATACAAGAACTAGTGGGCACCCAAGGAAATTAATAGGCATCAGGTATTGAATAAACAAAGGGAAGGATTTTTCACAAAAAGCACATTCATTCTGTGAAACTCCCTACCATAGGTTGTTGAGAAAACCAAGACTATAACTGTTCAAAAATGAGCTAGATACCTTCATGGAGGAGAGGTCCATCAATGACTATTAGACAGGTATGGTGTTCCTAGCCTCTGTTTGCCAAAAGCTGGGAAGGAGTGACAGGGGATGAATCATTTGATGATTACCTGTTCCATTCATACCCTCAGAAGACAGGTAACTGGGCTAGTTGGACCTTTGAATTGACCCAGCATGGTCCCTCTTATGTTCTTAGGTGATCAGAGAAATGGAAACCCCCACCTTATGAGAGGAGACTCAAGAGCTTGGCTTGTTTTCCCTAACCAAAATCTGAAGTGAGATGTGATTGTACTCTGTAAATACATCAGCTGGATAAATACCAGGGAGGGAGAGGAGGTCACAAGAACAAACTGGACCCAAAAAATGTAGATTTGAAATTAAACAAAAATGCTAACCATTAGAGGCCTGAAATTCAGAGACCTTCCAAGGGGGCAAATTGGAGTGGGAGGGAGACAAAAAACCTACTGGGTTCAGTACTAAGCTTCCTAAGTTTATGGAGGGGCTGGTTTGATGAGGCTGCCCACAATGGCATGTAGCTGATCTGTAGCTGTTGGAGGTAAATATCCCCAATGGCTGCTGACGTGGGAAGGGCTCTGAGTTTACCAAAGAATTTTTTCCCAGGCATTTGGCTGGTGGGTCTTGCCAAAGTACTCATGGTCTGACTGAGCCCATGTGTGGGATTAAGAATGAATTTCCCCCGGGTCAGATTTATCAAGCTCTTGAGGCTCACCCTTAATGTCATTACCTCACAGAAACTTCCCCTATTATCACCCCTATGTCATTACCTCACAGACACTAACCTTCCCCCCTCACCCCCACTCTCTTCTAAAATTTGATTTGTCAATTTCACATGCGTTCATTTTTTTTTATTGTATCACTTTGGTGTATATGGTTGTGCCGATTTTCTTCCACATATTGATCTGAGGAAGTGGGTCTGGCCCACGAAAGCTCATCACCTAATAAACCATCTTGTTAGTCTTTAACGTGCTACATAGTTCTGTCTTTTGTTTCAGCTAGACCAGACTAACATGGCTGCATCTCTACCACTATAAGTGAGGGAAAGTTGCCTTCTTCTGAAGCTTGGGGCATGTGTCATTGGTGGGTTTTACTAGTATAAATGGTGGATTCTTTATAACTTGACATCTTCGAATTGGCATTTGTGGTCTTCAGTAATTCAGCCACTGATGGCGGGTCTTTGACAGGAGTAGACAGATGCAGTTCTGAGACCTGCAAAGTTCGGGAGCTCAGACCAGATGATCATGATGGCCCCTTCTGCACTTACGAGTCTGAGTCTATGACGTGTCCTGACCCCAGGTCTGACCCATGGCTCTGAAACCTGTTCTCTGACTGCCCCTGCTCTGATACTAAGCATGACTGTCCAAGGAGGCTTTGTTTGAGAAGTGGTTTTATTATGCCAACAGAAAAACTCTTTCTGTGTGGGATGCATTTATGCTAGGGGGCTGTGCTCACACAGCTATATTAACATTAGGGATGTGATTGTGTACCCTAATACACAGTTAACCAATAAGCCTCATTGTTACATGCAGCCCCTACCTCTCTGCCCACTGTGCTGGGAAGAGGGGGAATGGAAGTTGTTGCTCATGGCAAGCTGGATTAAAAGCCAGCTCCTTGTGAGCACTTACCCTCCCCCTGTAAATGTGTAACAGCTAAACGTTTCAGTGGTTGCACATTTACACAAATAAACACATTTTAACATCCCTTCTTAAGATAGGCTATGTGTGTAGATGCCCCCTTGGCTTTCATGTAAAAAGTGTTTCAAGTCCTCAGGTTTGCAGAGAAAAGGGCTGAAAACATGACCCTAGGCTCAGAAAGCAAAGACACATAAAAAGACCCCAAATCAATGTTTTGTTTATTTTTCTTTAATCTCATTATTTTAAGACAGTCTGATGATTTTTGTTATTTGGCTCCTGATGTTGGTCCACCTGAGTTTGGCCATGCTCCCAGGATGAAGAACTTTGCATCGATGTAGCTAAGTTTCATTTGTGCTGTTCCAGGAAATGAAGAAGGGAGCAGTTGGCAGGAGACTACAGAGTTAGTAGAAGGTTGGATAAAATCTGGCGGATACAAGTGGCAGATGGACAAAATATTTTTGTTCCTGGGTAAGTAACAGATGTATTTATACACAAGTATGTACAAACAAGTATCTGGCCAATTGATGCCAGGGATGTTGATGTTTGACAGGCACCATGCATCTGGGTTTTCCTGGACATGACTTCCTTTTGGTCCTCTAATCTCCATCCAGGCCGATCTTTGAACTATGGAAATTTTCCCTGAGAATCTACAACTACTTTCTGGAAGGTGTGGGATAGGGTCTGCCAAGAACTACTCACCGTGTTGGACCTCAGGATTGTAGAGGAATCCCCTAGTGCAGCGTTTCTCACACTGGGGGTCCCACCCCAAAAGGGGATGGCAAGGTGAGTGCAGAAGGGACACTTGTAGGGTCACCATACATTTGGGCTTTCTCAGACATGACCTCTTCACTTCTGTGCCACCTTCATGGCAGGGCTACACTGGGTTCCACCCTCATTTCTGCCCTGTCTCTCACGGTGGCTGTGATCTCCCCATCAAGAATGGCCAGATAGGGGAAAGGGAACTCCTGTCCCTGTCCAGGCTGGCTAAACTAGCAGCTGGGAACCCCAGACTCGTAGCAGCAAGGGGAGATCAGATTTTACATGCAGGGCAGATTTCACAGCTTGTGACACATTTTTCATGGCTGAGAAATTGGTAGGGCCCTACTCATAGAGTCTCAGGGACTTTTTTCCCCATAGTGGTCTGCACTGGATGGTAGTCTCCATTAGAATGGTCTGGCCATGCTTTGAAAACCAAGGGGAGATCTTTGATTCATTGTTTTGCTGCTTCTTTTCAGTCCAGCATCATGGATTAAGGGTACTGGCAGCTCAAACTCAGGTTTTGGTGAAAAGCATGATGAGGAGGCCCTCTTGGTCTTTTCAAGTCTTCTGTAGGTCCACATAGTACAGCCTCTGTCTTGTTTCTCTTCCGTACATGGCAGATTTCATCAGCAGCTGCCCTTGCCCTATTCGTAACCTTAAATTATCTTTGCCACTTGGCCAGGAGATTGGACTTCAAGGTTGGTAGCAACAATGAATCCTCTCACTGGGTTTAATAATCACATTGGCCCTTTGTTGTCGATGAACCCTCTCACTGGGTTTAATAATCACATGTTGGCCCTTTGTTGTTGGTCCGTTCCTGGCTCTGAGATTACAGCAGGTTCTCCCACAACAAAGCCTGCAGGGGCTCCAAGTTTCCCCTGACAGAGCATGTATTGCACCACTTTGGTCATTCCTGGGCCTGTCACCTCCCATGTCTGGTGGAGGAGATCTAAGATCTTGTGGGGCCGCCTCCTATATAGCCGTATCAGTGAGGATAAGAGGAGGCGTGGGATCGACCAGGCTCAGTGACTGGGATCAAAGGCATTGGCCTTCCAGCTGATTCACCACTTGAATTTCGGATTCACAGACTGTAACACAATGTGCACTCCAAGGTCTGTTCTTCCATTCCCACAAAAGGAAGGGTCTGTAGCCCACCTCTGGTTCCTGTGAAGGGCTCAGGGCTTATTGTGTCTCTCCCCTCTTCTCCCCTCTGGTGGAGGGAAATGAGGCCTGGGTCCCCTTCCCACCCCCCAATGAAATGGCTGATTAGTATGGGAGGTTGGGCCCTGCCTCTCTACTGGGCACATGGCCACATGCTCATCCAGGGTCTGCCGGATGTTCCAGTAAAGGGTCTGTAGCCTTAGCAATGGCTGGTCCCTGCTTTTAGGCTTGGGGCAGCTGCTGGTGGCAGAATCTCTCCTGCAGCAAAGACTCCTGTTGCACATTTCCACAGCCCCAGCTAAGTCTCTCTCCCCTCAGAGCTGCCTGGCTCGGTGAAGTGGTGCGTCAGTGAGAAGGTGCATGCCATGGACAGATGGGGAGATGATGTGGCCCCGGTTTGCTCATCTCAGTGGGGCTTGCAGTCACTCCTCATTGTGCCCAGGAATCTGGAAATCCACTCTGTTCTTAGGCTCATCAAGGGTTTGCTCTCTTGGCCTCTTTGCCCCTTCTGGGTGGGCTGTCCGGCTCTCTAGCAATCTGTTGACCAGAGTTCCTTTCTCCAGCATGCTCACTCCTCTTCAGCCACCCTGCCAGTCTGCTTCCCAGCCCTTTGATCCTCCCAGCTGCTGTTAGCCTGCCAGTCAGCAATGGTTGGCTTTGCCTAGATTAACCCTTTAGTTTTGGAGCTAGCATGTGGGAACAGGATCCCTTTTAAACTCCTGTTCCAGCTGCAGCAGGTTCTGCAGGGGCTGTGGGCAGTGTTCCCTCTGATCTTTTCCATCTATGTGCAGAGTTTTTATACCCATATGTGGAATAATTATGTGCACAGAGGCATGTGTGATTGTGCACCACCAGTGGAGACAAAACCTAGCTGTGGTTGCTCTGATAATCAGTTAGGCAGCATTGGAATCTCTCCTTAACAGCCACACAAGTGCACAGCTTACAAGAAACACTGGCGATGGGGCCTGATCCAGTGGCTCACGCTGCTGTCTAACCACTTCTGGCCCAGTGGGGCGAGGGGAAGGTTTACACCCTATCAGAAGCACCTGAAAAAACACAGTCCCTGCAGAGCTTCGGGAATCCGATGAAAGGATGGGATGGAGTGGAGCTCACGCATCACTTCGGTTGTGATGTCCTCCTAGCTCAAAAGATGAAGGACCTGTCAGAGACTTAGATGTCCCCCAGGAATCAGGGAGGATTAATGGCAATGGGCACCCTAGACTTTCTCTCTAGTGACCTGCAGTGTCAGACACCTCCCACCCCACTGGAGGAGGATCTCCTGACGCAATGTCCTTAGTCTCCCTACAACAGCTGTTTCTTAGCAGCTTCTTGTCAGATTTCTGTCTAGTTGTAGGTGGCTCTGTTCTTCCATTCCCATCAGGTTGCATCCTTGGCCCAATGGAATAGCAGGGGTATCTACAGAAGATTTGGAGGGGGTCTGACCCTAAACTGAGGGGGGAGAGGGAGGAGAAAGACAGACTCATCCTCCAGCCACCACTCAGTTTAGGGTCAGAGTTTTAAGGACAGTCTCAGAGGACTTGGTTGGTTTCCACAGGGCTCCTATTACCCAATGGGGGACAGTCTCAGGGAGGTGACTCATTTCTTCAGGGGTCCCGTTGCCTCACTTCTGACTGTCACTTTTCTATTGGGTCCCATTTTCCACCTGGGTTTCCTTACCTCTGGTGTAGCAGCAGTTTGTAGAGCTAGTAAATCTCCTCCCTGGCTAGCTGGCTAATGTCCTGGACTAGGTCACTCATGGACAGTCATACATAAGAACGGCCATGCTGGGTCAGACCAAAGGTCCATCTAGCCCAGTATCCTGTCTGCCGACAGTGGCCAGCACCAGGTATCACAACAAGTAATCCTCACGTGAGCTCTCCTCTGTCACCCACCTCCAGAAAAACAGAGGCTAGGGATACTATTCCTACCTATCCTGGCTAATAGCCACTGTTGGACCTAACCTCCATGAATCTATCTATCTCTTTTTGGAACCCTGTTAAAGTCCTAGCCTTCACCACATCCTCTGGCAAGAAGTTCCAGAGATTGACTGTGCATTGAGTGAAGAAAAACTTCCCTTAATCACAGCTAAGCCACCAAGTTCCCTAGTTGGGTAACTATGCTAAGGTCTAATGGGAAGGAAAGAGAAGTGGCTCTGTCAGTAGTTTCCTGTCAGCTTCCAATCTCCCCCAGGCCAGGAGTCTCTCTCTCCCCCTCAAATGGTCCTGGAGCAAAGGGATGTGGGCAGGGCCTTCCATGAGGACTTGCACCCCTAACTGCTCCAGGAGGACCAGAACAAACAAGAATCTGGCTGAAGCAGAGCTTAGAACATGGTCTCCTTAAAGACTCAGGGTATCCACTGAACCAGGAGAAAATGATCTTGACTCAAGTCTATCTCATCTCTCCTCTGACTCTGCCTTCCTAAGGGGAATGCTCCCAACCCACAGCAGCTGCAGATCCTACAGCCTGTCAGAGCCAACCTGCATACACCTGGGCTACGTCTACACTGGCATGATCTTGCGGAAGAACTCTTTTGCGGAAGAGTTCTTGTGCAAAAACTCTTCCAGAACAGAGTGTCTACACTGGCATGTGCGTTTGCGCAAGAGATGTGCTTTTGTGCAAGAGCATCCATGCCAGTGTAGATGCTCTCTTGTGCAAGAAAGCTCTGATGGCCATTTTAACCGTAGGGCTTTCTTGCGCAAGAAATTCATGTTGCCTGTCTACACTGGCCTCTTGCGTAAGAAGCATTGATTTCATACATTAGAACGTCAGTGTACTTGTGCAAGAACTCACGGCCAGTGTAAACAGGCAGCAAGTTTTTGCGCAAGATCGTGCCAATGTAGACACAGCTCTGGAGACAGAGAGCTGGGCTCAGAGTCACATACGTCAAATACAGGGAAGGAGATGGTGAATCAGAACAGGGCTCTCCTGCTCCTTATGGCCTTGGCTGTCCCTGGGGCATCTGGACCTGATGCAGAAGTTGATATGCTGTGGGGGAAGGAGGCAGGCCAGGATTGATAGACTGGTGCATATGCTATGCAAACAAGCCCACTTCCATCCCCAGCACTGAGACATGGTGCTCATGGTAGAATATTTGATTCCTGGATCTCACAGAGTTGGATATGAGCTTGGGTGGGGGGTTTAAAGCTCTCACTGCCAAAGCCAGCCAGGGCCCTGACTTGAAGTTCCACATTCTTCCCCTGTGCCTGAAGGAGGAAAGGACCCATATTGCACTGACTGCCCTGACCAACGATGGGGTGGGTGCATGCTAGGAGGACAGACTGAAAAATGGATTTCCAGTCTCTCCTTTCCAGTTCCTCCCAGAATTAAAGTAAAACTGCCCCTTCCCTTCCTGCCCATGCTTACCTCCAAGATGTATTGGAGCCTGTCTGTGTCTGGGGACTCTGCCAGCAGGCTCCTCAGCATGGCCTGCCTGAGGTCAGACAAGCCCTTATACAGAATCTGCAAAGAAAGGGGCAGCCATGGGTCACAGCTGGGAAATTGGGACAACTTCTCTTCCCTGACAATAGCTTCCTGCTCGGCCAATTAACATTGACACTCTGAGAGGTGGAGGGTTGAGACGTCTTAGCAGATGACGTAGGTTGCCACCACAGGGTATCAATCTCAGAGCAATTCCAGCCCCACCACTTACACACACCCTCCCACCCACCTATCCCCAGAAAGGAAAAAAGGGGATTCTCATGGCTCCTTCCCCACTCTGGCACGATAAATGCAGAAGTGGGGGCCAGCAAGTGTACCCCAAAACCTTATCTACCAGGCTTTGGTATAAAACTTCCCCCCAAAATCTTAGAACTCTAGATTTTGGGAATAAAACTTCTGCTGCCACCACCCAAATTAATAAAGAAACCAGGGGAGAGACTATTTGGGAAAATCTCCCTCTAAAAGTAAAAAACAGGACACCACCATTAACCAATACCAGGTTAATAAAAGGAAAAGAGAAAACTTTTATTATCACCACACTATTCCTGTTGCAAGCATAACAACTAGATTGAAAAGTAACAAATAATATACTCATGGAGAAACTCCATGGGCCTAGAGCTTAATTACAAAGAAAAGCCAAACATCTTTTAAAAAGTGCACAGACATCAGATCCCATACCCAAAACATAAAACAATAAAACCTAATGGATTTATCTAACTTTACCCTACTTACAGAAAGTGAAGAAAGAGTCTTTTCTTGGAGGGAGACAAGGGCTACATCTAGACTGGCATGATTTTCCGGAAATGCTTTTAACGGAAAAGTTTTCCCCTCAAAACATTGGGCTCTTTGCTGCTCCATCTCCAATTTTTCAACATCTTTTTAAAATGTGGCCCCTCATGCTGGTGGCAGTGTCCAATCTCAGTCTCATGGATGCTGTGTCATCATTCTATGGCAATGCCCTGGCCTCAGCCTTATTTGCCCCTCTGCATATTTTGCCACCCACACATGTTACCAAGAGGAATTTTATATTGGCTTCCATTTCACTGATGATAATTTAAATTCTTCAGAGCCCTAGTACCAAGTACCTGGCTCCTTACAGGCCAGCA